AAAATGTCCAGTTTTTACACAGAAAGGTAGGGGGAGATTTAGAGTAATATTTTTAGGTTTTATGGCTGACTTTGGGGAAAAGGGGTTCTGGTTTCTATGACTCACCTTGGGGAAGAGGGATTAGAGTTTCTACGGCTGGCCTTAGGGGAGAATGAAGGGCCAGAGATAGGAGGGCAGGAGAAGGTCGAAGAGAAACGTTTGCTTCTGAGACCTTCCTTTGGGGTATTGTCTTACGAGACCCTACAAAGTACACCCCTGGGGCCGACAGAGCGAAGGAAACGGAAGCGGGGCAGGCAAGGAGGGAAACAAGTACAAGGTGGTGCACGACTGAGCTGGTCACAGCTTCACCAAAGACCTGGCTGCTTGCTCGGTCATACGAGATGTTTCAGCAGGCCATAGAGAACACAACATTATCGGAAACAGTTCATCTGGGAAGAAAAAGGAGACATTTGTGCGCTGGCTCCTTCCTGTCTCCTGTCTCTCAGAGTTGAAGCTTGCGTCCCAGAGTGTTCATTCCCCCTTCACTTCCATATGGCGTCGCTTGGCGGCTTTGGGCAGCTGCCCGGGAAGCTGGATCTCTGGCCACACTGGGGGTACATCAGTTGAGTCTGGAGGTGTAGGAGGAGCCAGAGCCTCTGTGCCGTCCAGCTGGGCTGGGCTGGGTGCGGGAGCTGCTGTGGCCCCCATCTCAGCAGACACCATGGGGGCCGTGCTGGTGCCCGGATTACTCCAGGGAAGGCCAAGACAGCCACCAGTGCTGGGGGATGAGGCGACGACGGTGGGCACTAGCAGGCTCTCTGTGAGCAAGGGGCCGAGGGCTGGGAGAGAGGCGAGGCTGAGCCGATCTGAGGCAGCACGTTGACCGGGCCTGATACGCCAGGGGCTTCTAAATTTGAGGTGCACTGCAGAGCCCATCCCACCTTTTAGACTTCACAACACTGTAGCAGGTTAAGGACTCTGAGCAGTCCTGCCGTAAAGAAAGCTAATTACGGGCCGGGCGCGGTGGCTCACGCCTGTAATCCTAGCACTCTGGGAGGCCGAGGCGGGCGGATTGTTTGAGCTCAGGAGTTCGAGACCAGCCTGAGCAAGAGCGAGACCCCCATCTCTACTAAAAATAGAAAGAAATTAATCGGACAACTAAAAATATATAGAAAAAATTAGCCGGGCATGGTGGCACATGCCTGTAGTCCCAGCTACTTGGGAGGCTGAGGCAGAAGGATCGCTTGAGCCCAGGAGTTTGAGGTTGCTGTGAGCTAGGCTGACGCCATGGCACTCACCTAGCCCAGGCAACAGGGTGAGACTCTGTCTCAAAAAAAAAAAAAAAAAGAAAAAAAAGAAAGGTAGGGGCCGGGTGTGGTGGCTCACGTTTGTAATCCTAGCACTCTGGGAGGTCAAGGCAGGAGGATGGCTTGAGCCCAGGAGTTTGAGGTTGCCATGAGCTAGGCTGACACCACGGCACGCTACCCAGGGCGACAGAGCAAGACTCTGTCTCAAAAACAAAACAACAAGCTTCCTTCAAGAGCATGCAGCTGGCTAACTGGCTTCAAGGGGGTTTTTCCCATGAATCTTGAATATAGCTTGAATACAGGCTGCTACATCAGAATCATCACGGAAGTTTTATTTTTCCCTAAATGCTTAATTCTGAAAAATATTGAAAAATAGAGGGAATAGTTATAGTGTACCCCCATTCACCCAACACTCAGTTTCAAGAGTTACTGACATACTTGTTTCTTCTATACTATTATCCACGCCCTCTACTGGGATTATTTTTAGGCAAATCCCAGATATAATTTTATCCCTAAATACTTCAAATAAAAATTCCCTTAAAAATCATAACCACTATACATAAAAAATGAACACTAATTCCACAATAGCATCAAACACAGAGGATTTTAAAAATACAGATTCCCTGGCCCCACCCCAGAGCTATTAATCGGACTCTGGCCGTGGAATGTCAGAATCTATGTTTTTAAAATAAAATTCCTCAGGTAGAGATTCCTTATGAAAAAGTTCCAGCAAAGCCAATTTAAAAAAAAAAAATCTTAGCACTTTGGGAAGACAAAGCAGGAGGATTGCTTGAGCCAAGGAGTTCAAGGCTGCAGTGAGCTGTGATTGCACCATTGCACTCCAGCCTGGGTGACAGACTGTGAGATCCCGTGGTAAATTAAACAACAAAAAAAATGTTCTGTAAAAGCTCTATAAAAGTGTGTATGGAAAATGCCAGGTCCTCTTATATACCCAGCTCCTTCAGAGCTTCCCCAGGAGGTCCTACGCAGAGTGACCTGGCAGTTCCCAGACTTCAACGTTACCTGAGGAATTTTATTTTATTTTTAATAGGAAGAAAAAGATACAAACTTATTTTAACATGTATACACAGGAACCCTCAGAATGAAGATTCAACTCCCCAGCAGGGTTCAGAAGCTTATATGCCTTTCAGGTGAAACGGGTCAGTGGGTCAGGGGACGAGGTGGGGTGGGGAAGAGGAATTAGGTTGAGGGACAAGAAAGGATTCCCAGGGAGAATGAATGAATGGGGAACAAAGATAAACTGGTAAGTAGTTCTCTTTGGAATTTAAGTGAGTCTGAGAGGTGGGACAGTACTCTATTGAGGTGTGGTCACATTCCAGTGAAGGGAAGAACAGAACAATTGTACTCCTAGGTGGGTCTAGATCTCAGGCAGATAAAGAAACTTCAAGGACTTTGGGAGAATGATGGGGTAGGGGGGAGGTCGGAGCACCTTAGAGCTTCTTAAGTCAGTGGGGCATGGTAAAATGCCATATTTTTGGGTAAAATATAATATTTCTAATTTCCTTCAGTACTGACTTTGTAGAGATAGGGTCTCACTATGGTGCTCAGCCTGGTCTTCGACTCCTAGTCTCAAGTGATCCTTCCCTTTGGGATTACAGGCATGAGCCAACCCATGGGCCAAGCATAAACATTTTGTCCTCAAATAGATTATAAAACAGGAATTTGAGCTTAGGGCAGTTTGAAACTGAAGCCCAGCAAAAAACTCCTGTGAGTAGCACCCTCCCTCACTTACTCTTCTCTGATTGAATGACCAGCCCTATACTTGTCTACTTCTTTATTTCAATCCAATTCACAAGTATTAAGTGCCCGGTAGGTGCTCAGAGCTGAGCTAAAATGTAATATTAGTATAATATTCATCCCTGCTCTCGAAGAATGTATAATTTAGTGGGGAGATCAGGTGAATACATATCTGAGATGACCTGCAAGAGCTTATGATGCAGAGGTCTTCAAACTTTACTGTGCAGAAAACTCCCTGGGAATCTTCAGAAATATGCAGGCTCCACACCTAGAGATTCTGACTCAGTTGGTCTAATGCAGGCACCTGTAACCTGCATTTTAACACCTTCTCCAGGTCATGTGGAGCCTACTGATGCTTAGATTATACCTTAAGAAAATTGTGAAGTCTGAAATTTTTCACACTCGAAAGTCCAGAGGAGGTGGAGAGGCGCTCAGTGAGGACCCAAGCAAAGCAGGCATGTCCTGGCCATCCTCACTCCTTGCACCTGTCTCCTAACAAGATGACTCCCATGGAGGGAGAGACTGAAAGAGCCCCTTCCTGTCCCCAGCGGTGTGAGCAAGAGTCTGCACCTCAGACTCTTGTCTCTGTGAAGGGCCATACCCACCAAGCTGTGATTCTGGCCACCAAGAGCGCTGGGGATGATGGAGTGACCAGCCAGGGAGGTTCTTTCTCCATAGAGGGCACCTGTCAGAGGCCAGCGCGGGGGACCACGGACCCCAGGAACCGCCGTATTTCCCCCATGGCGCTTCCTCCAGCGGCACCACCAATCACGACATTTTTTTTTTTTTTTTTGAGACAGAGTCTCACTCTGTTGCCCGGGCTAGAGTGAGTGCCGTGGCGTCAGCCTAGCTCACAGCAACCTCACACTCCTGGGCTCAAGCAATCCTTCTGCCTCAGTCTCCCGAGTAGCTGGGACTACAGGCATGCGCCACCATGCCCGGCTAATTTTTTCTATATATATTTTTAGTTGTCCAGATCATTTCTTTCTATTTTTTAGTAGAGACGGGGTCTCGCTCTTGCTCAGGCTGGTCTCGAACTCCTGACCTTGAGCGATCCACCCGCCTCGGCCTCCCAGAGTGCTAGGATTACAGGCGTGAGCCACCGCGCCCGGCCCAATCACGACATCTTTTGCTTGCATCTCTCCAGCATTTGTTTGTCGGGGTTCCTGGGGCTCACGTGAGCGGCTGTGAGGGAGGGAAAAAGGGATGGCGGCGGTGGTCAGCTCTGCCCACGACACTGTTCTTTGTAGGGGTGGAGATAAAGCTGGTCACTCCAGATTCCAATCAGAGCGCGCAGAAGAGGAACTGGCGCTGCTTCAGTGGCCAGGGTGGGTTGGTCAGTCCCAACTTGTCCTAAGGAGGGACACTGCCCCAGCCCGAGAAGAGGCAGAGCCCGCCCCCAGGAGCCCCCAGCCAGAGGGGAAGAACACAGCCCACCTCGGGAGTCTCCAGCCTGAAAGAGAAAACGCGACCAAGCCCAGAGCAGCGTCCAGTCTGAGGGGGGAGACACGACCCCAGTGGCCTCAGCAGCCCCTATTCTGAGGCGAGGAGCCACATTCCTCCCATCAGGACCGCCAAAGCGGATTTCTACAAACCAAGTCCGAGAGCTTTTCGACGGGGATGCCGCGGCCCACCCCGCGGGGAGAGTGGGCACAGCGGTCACCCGGTGCTCACGCAGCAACACCAAGCCGCGCTGGGCGAAGGCTGTGGGGCTTCCCGTCGCACGCGGCTCCGCTCCTCCGGCCCGATGCGCGTAGGGATGGGTGCGCAGGGGCAGCGCCGGGGAGCCCTTTGCAGCCGGCCGCCCCCTCCCCCAGCCCCGCGGGCTTTTGCACACGACTCGCGGCGGGCCGCTTCACACGGGGTGGCGAGGGCCGGATAAAGCGGGCGGGCGCGGGGTGCAGCGGCGGGCGCCGAGACGCCGGAGCCGAGGCGCGGGAGCGCTGTGCGCGCGGGGCCCTCCCGGCAGGCGGGTGCGCGTGGCGGAGCGTCCCGCGCGCAACTTCCAGGGCGCACTCGGCGGGGCCGCGGCGCGCAGCTGCCCGCACCCAGCGCGGGGCCGCATGGAGGCCACGGAGAAGCAGCACCTGTTGGACGCCAGGCCCGGAGCCCGGTAAGGCGACCGCGTGGGGAGGGGCGGGCTTTTGGGCGGCATCAGACGCACCTCCTCGTTTGCCATCCTCGCGGTGGTTTGTTTTGGCGGCGGCTTGAAATAGGGCCACGCAGGGTGGGTGGGGTGAGGCGCGGGAAAGAGGAAATTGACCGTGGCCCCATGGTCCCATGATCGTCCCTCCCTAGGGTTGAGCTCAGATCCTGACCCCTGCTCACCTGGGGAGAGCGGAGGAGTCCAATACCTGGAGTTCCGCCCTGCCCAGCACTTTGCCCCTGGGCAGCCCTCCCCTGGGGAGGCCCTGTGTCCCCAAGTGCGCCTGAGTGAGGCTCCGCTCTTCTCTGGAGCCTGAGCTCTGTTACTTCTCTGCTGGACTGGACAGCCCCACCCCTTAGCCAGTTCCAAGGTCTTCGCCTCCTCTTGGCCTTGGAAGGGATGGGGCAGGAGGGAGCATAGGCTTGTGAACACAGGTGTCTCACCTTCTGGTCACTCCTCAGGGGCTGTTGAGCTTAGAGCGGCCTTAGCTGTTCTTCCCTTTGGACACCAAGGCTTCAGAGGGAGATGAGACTGGAGTCAGCCCTCCTTGACCCCCAACTCAGAGCTGTGTTCCTGCTCCCTTCCTCTCTGGCCAGGTCATCCATGGGAACTATGTGGCAGGATGGAGCTGGCTGGATCCCTGTGCCTGGACATGGCCTGGACTTGCAGGCCATTGAACTGGCTGCCCAGAGCAACCATTACTGCCATGCCCAAAAGGGTCCTGGCAGTCAGTGTGACCCCAAGAAGGAGCGGGCCCGGCGCCAGCTCTATGTGGCCTCTGCCATCTGCCTGGTGTTCATGATCGGAGAAGTTATTGGTAAGGATTTCTGTGCCAACTTCATTTGACATATGGGTAGACTGGATGTTCCCAGTAATATTAACACTAATAGCCCTATTTATTGAACTCTCACTATGCTAAGCCCTTTATATACACATTATTTCATGCAATTCTAACAACCTTTGTTACCATATGGGTGCTGCTAGTCTCCTTATTTTACAGATGATGAAACTGAGACATGTTTAGGTTAAGTAACTTGCCAAAGATTACACACAACTGGTAGGTAAGGGAAGCCTGAATTCCTAGAAGGAAAGAGCATTTACTGAGTACCTACTGTACTTTCTGGCCCCCTATTGAACTTGGTTTTCACATTTACCCCCTAAGTAGATGTTGTTGGCCCATTTCACAGAGAGTGGAAGTTGAGGCTCAGAGAGAAAAAGGCACTTGCTCACGGTTGTACTGCTAATGGGTGTAGAGATCTCCAACCCGGTGTGTCTTCTCCGAGAGCCTGTCGTCTCCCTGCTGCACACACAGTCTGGGGGTTGGCTGTTTGGGGAGCTAATAAGGACCCTCCAACCTCCCGGCCCTGCCCCTGCAGGTGGGTACCTGGCACACAGCTTGGCCATCATGACTGATGCAGCCCACCTGCTCACTGACTTTGCCAGTATGCTCATCAGCCTCTTTTCCCTCTGGATGTCTTCCCGGCCAGCCACCAAAACCATGAACTTCGGCTGGCAGCGAGCTGGTGAGGACCCTGGTTGGACTGGAGATGGGGTTGAGAGAGAAGGTGGGTCAGAACAGGGCTTCTTAAGTGGCTGTAATGGGTCCATCCCTGAGTGAGGCCAGGAAGGTGACTTGGATGAGGGAAGAGGATGTCAACCTTGGCCTCTGGCCTCTGGGAACTCCCAGTCTGATGGGGGCCCTGGTCCCTGTCTCCAGGGAAGCGGAGTTCCCTTTCCTTAGAAACGCAGTGGCCAAACTTCAGGAACAAATGACAGTGGCATTGACGCTGCACATAGCTCCATGGATCGGCTCTGGGTGGGGGGAAAGGTCAGCAAAGCCTGTCGGAAGATACAGGCTTTAACCTCCCCTCAGTTCACCTCTGGTCTGCATTGTCACTTTCCTCCATGTGGAGCAAAAGATATCTATTTTAATAAGTCAGTTTCTTTACATGTAAAACGAAATGGGTGAACCCAGATAACTTCTTCAGTTCCTTCTAGCTCTAACATTCCCAGACATGTGAGTGATGGGTGAGGTGCAACCAGGCCAGCCATACCACCAGCAGAGCCCCGTCGGACTCAGGCCCTGACTTTGCTTGTGGGGGAGGGATCACGAGGGGAGGGGCAACCTCCCCAGCCTTGGGGCCCATGCCAACGTTGGTGTCGGGTTCTTCCTCAGAGATCCTGGGAGCCCTGCTCTCTGTGCTGTCCATCTGGGTCGTGACTGGGGTTCTGGTGTACCTGGCTGTGGAGCGGCTGATCTCCGGGAACTACGAGATCGAGGGGGGCACCATGCTGATCACGTCGGGCTGCGCCGTGGCTGTGAACATCATGTGAGTGGGGCCCTGGTTTCCTGAGTCCCCCTCTTCCTGCCTCTCACACCGCACCTATGTCTGCCGTAGTGAGTGGAAGGAGGCCATGCCACGCTCTGGCATACGCCACAGGGACAGAACTTCCCTAATGGTTTGACCTCTGGCACCTGGAACACCTGGGTCCTTTCTCAGGCCTAGGCCAAGGACATCACGAGCTATAAATCTAGGGCCACATCAACCCCACCCACTCCCCCATACATGTCAGGGAATAACCTTGGAGGCTTCACACCTGAAGTGGGGAGGGGTGAGTCCAGTTGTTGCAGGAGCAGACGTCCCTAGTGGCACAACCCAAGTCTGTTTCAAGCTGATGTGCCTGAAATTGGTCTCAGTGAGAGGCAGTAGTGTGTTTCTCTCCCTTGCTCAGTGGCCTCAGTTTCCCCATCTGTGACATAACGGTGAACTAGGTGACCACCATGATGGCCTCCTGCTCAGATTTGGCACTGTGGCATTGTTGTGCCCAGACCCAGCATGGCGTGGAGCAGAGTGCTTTCTCCTGTGGCTCTCTGAACCAAGGCCACATGGGCTGGGTTCTTCACATGGCCAAAGGTATCCCATGGAGTTTGGGGGCTTGAAGTTTTTGCCCCACAGGGAGGCCAGCCCTAATGGGTGACCTCTTCCTGCTACCTCAGTTAGCCCCCTGGTTTTGTCTCCACTTCCACAGAATGGGATTGATCCTTCACCAGTCCGGCCATGGGCACAGCCATGACACCAGCCAGCAGCAGGAGAACCCCAGTGTCCGAGCTGCCTTCATCCATGTGATTGGGGACTTTCTGCAGAGCGTGGGCGTCTTGGTGGCAGCCTACATTGTGTACTTCAAGGTCAGACCTGGGGACAGAGGGAGGTGGGGAGCAGCGGAGTACAGACCATCTGGGCTCGTCTCTGCACAGGGACCTTTCCAGATTCTAGCTTCCTCCCAGGTCTGGGCAAAAGGGTGGGGAGAGGGAAGGAACATTTATCTGACACCAACCAAGTATCAGCACTTCTGATCCTCACCACAACATGAGAGGCAGGCAGTAGTGTTTTCTGCAGCTCAGAACGGTTCAGTGACTTGCACAGTGTCACACAGCTAGTAAGTCGTGGAGCTAGATTCAAACCCAGGACCATGTGCTGCCAAAGCCCAGGCATTGCCCATCACATAGGGGCAGTGAGGTGTAGTGGCAAGAGTCAGGCAGGTTTGAAGCCTTGCTCTACTGCTTGCTAGCTGTGTGATACTGGGTGACTTGCTTGTGCTAATTGAGCCTCAATTTCCCCATCTATAAAATGGGGATGGTGGACCAGATGGCATCTAAGGATCCTTTTAGCTCTGTCCACATCTCAGCCCCTTGGACAGGGAGGAGGGGAAGGGACTGTGCCTTATCCTCAACTGTGGTCTGTCCTGCCTGTTCTTCCAGACGTGGAGTAGAGTAGAAAACTGGGAGGCAGGGCCAGGGCGAGGCTCATGCCCACCCTGCAGAGAGAGCCCCTCTCCCCGACACAGTGCTGGGTGGGGGGAGAAGGGAAGCTGAGGTGTTGGGTGGTGAACCCAGATCTGCCTTCCCCTCTTCTTGTAGCCGGAGTACAAGTATATAGACCCCATCTGCACCTTCTTCTTCTCCATCCTGGTCCTGGGGACAACCTTGACCATCCTGAGAGATGTGATCCTGGTGCTAATGGAAGGTAACCTGGGCTTTGGGGCTCCCTTTCTGCTCTTGGCTTTCAAATTCCTCTATTCAGCCTTTCAATAGGGTATATGTATCAGGGGGATCCCAGCAGACATGGTCTGGAGCCTGGCATAGGCCAGAAGATCCCCTGGGGCCCTGGGCTGTGACCTTGGCACAGAGCTTGAGCTCTCGGGTGTGGCAGTTCCTGGAACTGTCCATGCCTTCCCTTCCTCCTAGCCCCAAGGGTGCCTCCTCCTCTGCTGGGATGTGTCCTCCCTGCCTAGTCAGGTGGCTTCTGGGTGGTGTCTGTAGCACCTGGAGCTCCAGCCCTACCCTGTACACTTCCTCAGTCTCTAGCCGCCTTCTTTCAGGAAGAGAGAAGGCGAAGGATTATGCTTCCCATTGCACAGGTGGGCAGACTGAGGCACAGAAAAGGGCAGTAAGTCTTGGACAAGGCTACTGAATCCACTCCAGCTCAGGCCTTTCCTACATCTCAGGGACCAAACCATGCCCCTGCCTCCGGAGGACATGGCTGCACTTTGAGGGGGTTGGAAAATGGTCAGTGGTGGAGAATGATCTGCCCTGAATTACCACTCTCCTGTGCTCTAAGGCCTTGAGTCTTGGGTTAGGGTCATGGGTCTCTGCGTGGTTAGGGTCAATCTGGGGTTGAGTTGGGTGCTGGCCTGGGGTTAGCAGGAGTACTTGGCTGCAGTTTAGAGCTTTTTCTCTAAGAATATGGCTGACCCAGATAAAAAAGTGATGATGAAGATGATGACTGTGCCTGGGTGGGTCCAGGGATCCTCCAGTTTTGTTCTTCTTTTCTTCCCTCCATTAAAAAATATATTTATTAAGCAACTACTATGGGCCAGACACTGTTCTAGGCACTGAGGATACAGCGGTAAACAAAACAGACTATCCTGTTTCATGGAGTTTCCATTTTAGAGGGAGAGACCAACAGTAAACAAATGAACAAATAATTTCAGAGAGTGTTAAGTGTGAAGAGGAAAATACAACAGGTGACACGATGGGGGGTTTGGGAGGTGGGGGCAACATTGGACCTGCTGGCCAATGTGGTCTCTGAGGAGATGACACTGAGGAGCAGGAGCCAGCCCTGCAGTGATGGGCATGAATGGGAGGGGCCGCTTCCTTCAGCCCCTGTCCCTGCCATCCTCAGGGACCCCCAAAGGCGTGGACTTCACAGCTGTGCGGGATCTGCTGCTGTCGGTGGAGGGAGTGGAAGCCTTGCACAGCTTGCATATCTGGGCACTGACTGTGGCCCAGCCGGTGCTGTCTGTCCACATCGCCATTGGTGAGTGGTTGGGACACCCCGGGTGGTGAGGGAGAGAGGCTGCCAAAGGCCTGGGGCCATCCCCAGTGGCTCCAGATGACCCCAGATGCTTGAATGCTTTAAACACATTATTTCATTTGAGCACCACAATCTCATGTATCCACGAAGACACTGAGGCTGGGGGTGGGGTGGGGCAGTAAAGTCACTTGCCCAGGCTTTTACAGCTAATAAGTGGCAAAAGTGGCCTTAAGACCGATGCTTTGCCAGCTCTTTCTGGGATGTCCTGGGTCTAGGTGCTGAGGGGGCCTGGCACAGGAGTGGAATCTGGGGGCTTGATGTTCATGGTCACCCATCCTGTGTGCTGGGGATGGGGTGTGAGACTTGGGCTCTGGATGGTTTGAAGGGCCAAGAGTAAACGGTTCTCTGGTGCCTCCTCTGATATGTCCTCTCGGCCCCCAGCTCAGAATGCAGACGCCCAGGCTGTGCTGAAGGTGGCCAGTGGCCTCCTGCAGGGGAGGTTCTACTTCCACACCATGACCATCCAGATCGAGGACTACTCTGAGGACATGAAGGACTGTCAGGCATGCCAGGGCCCCTCGGACTGAGGCGTGGACCACTGGGGCATGGACAGGACCTGCAGGAGGTGGGACTTAGTGTCCCCCAGGCCCAGCCAGGACTCTGCCTACCCTGCCTGCGTCACAAACAGGGTCCCCCTCCTGACCTTGGCTGCCCTGCCCCAGTAATAGGCTCTTTCTGGCCTCCCTGTCTGACTACAGCGTGCCCTGGGGTGGGGGACTTGGCAGGTATCAAGCTAGCGTGACCCCACTCCAGCTCCTGGGTCAGCTCCTGGCAGGGCTGTGTTTGAGCTAATGCTGTCCTACCACCCGCAGTGGCAAAGGCAATGTGGCACAGTGTGGGACAGCAAGAAGGAAGGCTGGCCTCGGTGCTCCCTTATTTCCCGTTTGTTGCCTGTCTGGCCTTTGCCTTTTGCGTCTGTAAAGAACCCCTGAGCCGGGCGTGGTGGCTCATGCCTGTAGTCCCAGCTACTCGGGAGGCTGAGGCAGGAAGATCACTTGAGCCCAGGAGTTGGAGGCTACAGTGAGCTATGAGTGCACCGCTCCACCCCACACTCCAGCCTGGTGACAGAGCAAGACCCCATCTCTTAAAAACAACAACAACAGAATACCCCCAGACCAGCAGTTCGGGGAGAGTCCCCTCCCTCTGCTGATAACAATATGGTTTAAGGAGGCCATGGGGCCAGGAGTTGTGGGGGCCCCCCTGCACTCTCATACGAGTCCCCCTGAGGTGGGGAGCCCGGGGGCACCCGAGGCCCGTCTGGGCCTTAGTCACTTCAGCTGGGAGCCAAATACTCCCTTTCCTGGAGGGGGTGTCTTCTTGCTAGGTAAGGGGCTGGTTTCCTCTTTCCTTATTCCCTGAGCCTAGGAAGCTGTGCCAACACCACAACAGTGGTGGGAAGGGACAGCAGTTTCAGCTTGAGCCTTACCCCAAGAGCCTCCCAGCCCCCGGGGGCACTTCTCTTGCTCTGAGAGTGTCCCAGGAATGGCAGAGCCTAAAATCAGATATGATCAGGCCAGCTCTGTCGCCTCTCTGGCCTGACCCAGTGGGAGCCTGTGAATGGAAGAGGAAGAGGAGCGGGACACAGCCCAGGGGCCAGCTAGGAGGGAGATGCCAGCTTCCTGGGGCTTTTGCGTGAAGATTCTTGACTTGGGGGTGGCTTGTGTTTATAAGATGCAAGAGGGGAGACCCGTCCTGACTCATCGAGACAACATGCCCAGTTATCAGGGAGCCCTGTGTGGCATGGTCTGTCCCTGCTATTATAAACAAGTGTCCTTAGGCAAGGTGGCCTCTCTGCCTCTTACTGTCATCTGTAGACTGAGAGGGTTAACACCTACCTCACTGGGTCCAGGCAGCCAAAGTCTGCCTGGTACCTGGTGGTTGTGGAAGAGTGGTTGCTTTTATCGTCCTGGAAACAGGGAACTTGCTGAGGAGCCAGGTGGGCCTCCCAGCCTCCCCAGGGGCGGCACTGAGATTGTCTTGACTCTGCTCTGGCTCATGGTGGGAGGAGGAGGGGTTGGCTGCCTCCTCCCCCTTTCCAAGAGAGCCTCTCTCTTTCCATCTGTGAAATGACCTCTGTGCCTTTCCAGCACTGTCATCCGGGATTGCCTGTGGCTAGGTCAGTGGGTCCTTCGGCCCCTCAAGGTCTGTGGAAAGTCATTAGCTTTGGCCTGGAAAGGGGCGTGGGGTTGCTGTGGCTGTGCTTCGTTCCACCACTCTTCAGGGGAATCAAATTCCTATGTCCAGGCCGGGCACGGTGGCTCATGCCTGTAATCCTAGCACTCTGGGAGGCCGAGGCGGGTGGATTGTTTGAGCTCAGGAGTTCGAAACCAGCCTGAGCAAGAGCGAGAAGAAATTAATCGAACAACTAAGAATATATAGAAAAAAATTAGCCGGGCATGGTGGCACATGCCTGTAGTCCCAGCTACTTGGGAGGCTGAGGCAGGAGGATCACTTGAGCCCAGGAGTGTGAGGTTGCTGTGAGCTAGGCTGACGCCACGGCACTCTAGCCAGGGCAACAGAGTGAGACTCTGTCTCAAAAAAAAAAAAAAACAAATCCCTATGTCCCAGCCATGGCAGGCCCCACGGACATGGATCCTGGGCTTTGCTGTGTGCCAAGTCCTTATACCCCTCTCAAGAGACAGTCATTGCTGTCCCCCATTTTTATAGATGAGAAAACAGGCTCCAAGAGGCTGTGCCATTTGCCTGAAGTCACACAGCTAATGTGAGGCAGGTCTGGGATTTCTGCCTCATTCCCTCAGAGCCCCCTACAGCAGGGGCTGGGGACTTGCTCCCGGCTGCATGGGTACAGTGTGAGCCCCTGGGTCCAGCAGTGCCCTCCCCTTGGGCAAGGCCATGTCAAGGCAGTTCAGTACCCTGGGTGTTGCAGCTGCAATTGGCTGTGGCTGGGCCTGGCACCCAGAGCCCTCCCCGCCCTGGGAAGGCAGCCTGGGCTGCAGCTGTGTGCTCCCTCACCCACCCGCCACTGCTCTGGACCCTGGGCCAGACCGCCTCCCCCTCCCTTTAATTTCCAGTTCCCCCCCTGCCCCTCAAGCATCTAACAGCCCCATGCCTCCCAAGGGAGAGCCCACCCTGCACTCCCAGCTGTGAGGAGGACCTGAGTTTTCCAGGGGCCAGAGTTCAAGCTGGAGGATGGGGGTGTGAGGCCTTGGACAGGCCTTGGGGGACAGCATGTTCCTGTCAGCGAGCTAGTCACGGGAATTTCCAGAGCTGCGAGGCCATCAAAGCAGGAAAACATCCGACACCTTGGACCTGGGCTGGACCCACCACCCTCAGGCAAGCCCTGAGGGCCCCCTCCCCCCGCGCAGCTGCCGTAAGGGTATTTATAGTCCGAGCTTGAGGGGGCAAGGACACCGCGCTTTATTTCGGAAGTGATAATTCCAGTTCCAGGTGGGTGAACCCGGGAGAATTTAGCGTCCCCTCCCCCACTCCATTCCTACCTATAGGGCGCTTGGGACAGCCCCCGCGCGCGGCCTGCGCACCTAGAAATGGCCCCTTGTTTCTGAGTTCCAAGTGTGCAGACCACGGGGGGAGGGCATCCTTCAGATTCCTGTCCCCATTTCCTGCCCTCGGGCTGCACGAACCGCTAACCCTCGTCCCTCTGCCCGCCCTCGGGCCAGGGGGTGTTTGAAACTGTTTCCTTTCGAGGGGGAGAGCGGTGCGGCGCTGACCTCTAGTGGTCCAGGTCGCTGATGCAGCGCGGACGGCCGCGCCTGAGCCCGGGGCAGACCACCTGCGTTCCCATCCGCCTTGTTTCCCCCGTCGTCGCCTCCCTGCACCCCTCTGCTCCTTGGCTGGGACGCGAGGACTGAGGCTGACAACGTAGAGGTCTAAGCTGCCTTCCTCCGACTAGAAGCCCCGGGGCGTGGAAAACGGAGTTTCTTCTCTCGGCACACATTGGCCACACTCCTGCCACCGCCGGCGTGGAGCCAGGCTCTCAGTTAACGTCTCTTCCATCTATTCGTCATATGTTTGCGGCGCACCTGCCAGGCCAGGGAGAAGAGACCACGACCCGCCCTCTGGGGCTCAGGGACCCGTCCTGGGGCCTGACGGTGTGCACACTGCAAGACTGTGCGGGGCCGCGAAAGCAAAAGGAGACCGAACCCATCGGGGACGGGGTTAGGGTCAGGCAAGTCCCCGGAGGAGGCGAAAATCTGAAAGACAAGCAGAAGTTAGTTGGGTAGAGAAGCAAAGATCAGCGTTTCAGGCGAGAGGGGAGGCCGAGGCGAGGCCTGGCGACCTGGGGCGAGCGCGGCGCACCCGGGCTGTGCCTGGAGTTGCCGCGCGGGAGGGCGAGGCCCCGCCTCTCAGGGCACCGTGGCTCCAATTGGCCAATAGGGCTCTGACGTGTTGGCCGACTGGCTGCCGTGATTGGCTCTCTGATGTCCCAAGGGACGTGGCTAAGTCCGCAAGCAGGTACCGCGCCCTCTGGGAGCCGGGCTGGGATTTCGCGGGTCCCTCCTAGGGCTTCTCCAGGCTGCGGTACTTCTTACGCTGCACCGACACTGGGTCCTTGAACAGCACCGGGTCCAGACGCAGGCGAGAGGACACCAGGGGCATGTGGCCAAACGCTGCCGCCATCTGGTTGATGCAGTCCGGGGCTGGGGGCTGGTGCTTTGGCCCGGATCCCGGGCCCCCAGGTGCCTAAGAGGGGAAGGAGAAATGCACTGATGGGCTTCTCTGTCCTTCCGAACCCGACCCCCCCCCCCCCCCCCGATCCCTGCAGCAAGAAGGATTTCGATTAGACAATGAGAGGGAAGCCTTCCTCCCTTCCTCCCCCAGCCAGTGCCAACCCGTCCCCCTGGGCCCCTCACCAGTGGAGCAGCCTCCTGCTGCTGCTTGCCATAGGGCACCTTGATAGGGGGCAGCTTGGTGACTGCCGCTACTAGGAAGTTCATCAGGACGTCCACACAGGTGGGTGCCTCATCTGCCAGGGTCCTCAGAGCCTTGGGCAGGAAGTGGGTGAAGAGAGTGTGGTAATACCTGAGCAAGGGGGGTGGGGGAGGGACAGAGAGAGGCTGCAGCTGAATTCACCTCCAGGCCCCCATTCTCTCTCCTGATCACACCTCTCTCTTTGACCCCAGTCCTCAGGCCTCTTGGGAAAGCCCTGCTCCCCTCCGAGCCTTGGCTGCCTCAGTGAGCCCCCATCCCCGGTATGAACAGCTCTCCACTGCTTTGTCCCCCCGGGCTTATCTGCAGCCAATGGTGTTCTCCCTGTGCTCTCCCTCACAGCTCCTTGGGGTCCCCACCCCCAGGCTCAGAGCCAGACGTAGGCAGTGGGATCAGCTGGTTCTAAGGCCATCACCCATGGCAGCCCAAAGACCAGCTTCAGGAAGGCTGTGGATTAGCCAGGCTGATGCTGCTTCAGGTGAGCCTGGCTTCACGTGGCCCCTATGGGACATCCTGGGTGCACCCTGGAGCCATTAGGGTTATTCTTTACTGAGAATTCCCTGCAGACCTCCCAGGTAATCTATAAGAGTTTCCAGGTAACACATATTTGATTTAAACATGTTTGAGGAACCTCTCTGAAGAGATCCTCTAGAATTCAGTCCCTGCCTCAAGACTGGGGGCCTCAGGCAGCTTCTGGAAGGTCTGGGATGGTCCCCAACCTACCACACCCACATTTATAAGGCATCAGGACCATTTTCTTGTCACACCACCACCACCAAACCCAAACACTGTCCTTACCCACTGCATGGCTCTACTTAAAATAACACTAGCTACCATTCGTTGAATATCTGTGTGCCAGGGACTTCATTTGATGATCACACCATTCCCATGAGGTAAATACATCCCACTTTACAGATGAGGAAACTGAAACTCAAGAGAAGTGAGGAGACTTGCCCAGGATCACCCAACTGGGAAGTGGCAGATCTGGGCCTTGAACCTGGATCTCTAGG